TTTTAATTAAATAATAATTTATTTAATTAGATGCGTGTATAAATATTCCAGTCTATGATTACTATTTTTTTATATCAAAAAACAAGGTGGAAAAGCCTATATTTTCATTTTTTTAAAAAAAATTATCTAATCCATAGCAAAATGCAAGTCATGTAGCTGATTATACCATATTTTTTTATTAGGATGAAATATAATTACAAAATATTAATATATATTTTGAGTGAAAAATATAATAATAGTAGTAGTCTTACCAAATTTCTAATACACCAAGATCTTAAGGCAGTAGGGAAACATTCAACATCTCTATTAATATTAGTAGAGATGATATATTTAGTTTAAGATGATAAATTTATCACTCTGGTTTGTGAGCAAAAACACTTTTTTCCTTTTTTATTTTTTTATAATTGCACTTTTACACCCTAAAAAGTTGGGGTAAAGTTTGATGTTAGTAAAATTGCATAAATCTATTGTATTCTCTCTCTGGATTCATTTATCTACTAATTGGGTTGCTGTTCTTTTATGTACTCAGCATGCAGCGTTGGTTCTTTAGGTAACTTCCCGAGAATGACACTGAATTTTGATCTTCGTTATACCTTTGGGTCCCTGGCCAAATGATGAGGCGGGCTTCAAGCTGTCTGATTTTCTCTGCCGGATGCCCGTTTTTTCCTCTGTTACTTTCTCCAATAGTTTAACCTCCGAACGTATTCGTCTACTCTGCTTATCATGCATGTTTTACCGGAATGAACTTGGACGGAGTTCAAGCCGCAATTTCTAGAAGACAATTTCCCCTGCTATAACATTTATCTTGCAATAATCTAAATACTAACAAGGGCATATTATGTAATAGTCTGTTGCCTAAAATTCCTATCAGACAGATTTTTAAGTCCATGACAGCGTATATCAGGCACAGCATTTCACAAAATGAACAGACTCCCACAATTCATTTCCCATTATGAGGTTCGTTGTCTATGAAGAAGAGTTCTTCCTACATTCCCAAAAATAAGCAAAACTTTTATAATAAATAAAACTAACAGACGATTAAATGGGAAACAACAGTATAGTCACTTTAAATGTGATGTTGGTGGAGAGAACTAAAGAACTTTCATAAAGAACCATGGAGGAAAAAAAAAGGGTAAATAAGCTTTGCCTGAGAAATCAAAACAAACAACAAAATACGACTCCTTTGAAAATTTCTGGTACTTGTAAATAATATACGATACCAGAATAATGCCTAAATTTGCATCCCTAATGTCCTTGCAAAAGCAGTTTTCTCTCCTGAAAGAAAAATTTGTAGCATAATGGCACCTACAATTCAAATTCATGATAACTTGTTAAAAGCAATGCCCAATGAGTGCAGCTAAAATAGAAATGCTATGTGATTAAGGAGCGTGACCCAAAGAGGATTGACCTTGTAGAGAGAGCTGTCCAACCACAACTCAGGACTCAGCAAACTTCTAAGCAAACACACTGGAGTCGATTTGCTGAATATTTGGAAAAATCTGTCTCAAAAAGGCAGAGTAGCTTGTAGACTTTGCCTGCAATAAAAGAAGCAAAACTATACGTGAAAAAGCTCCACAATAACAAAGGAAACAGCAAGGAGGGAAAAGGAGATATCCAAGCAAAACCCAAAGATGAACCGTGGCTTTCCCTTTCCTTCAAGTCAAACAGCCTTAATCCCAAAAAAAGATAATCCAAACAAGCTTTGGCAAGTCAAAGACAAGACTACTATGATATTTATCATAAGTCGTGATATGCACAACGATTGTCCATTTGCGTGCAAACTTTTCATCACAGTTTCTTGAAATTAATGTCTTTTATGAGAAATGAGTGGACAAATCAAGAAAATACAATAAAATCAGTTGTCATGCACTTCAGGCTCCAGAGGTTTACCAAATATCCAGTTACAGTATCAATTATGTGCAAGCACAGAAGAATATTATCTCACTTAAGAAAAGCAGTTCATGCCAATTATTCATGGTCGTGTCTGGAAACAAAGCTACGAAGAGGTTTCAATTTCAGTGTTTTCTTTTCATTTCTTTTTATGGCTCTAGAACTTGTAACACATAAATTCATGGATACAATTTGACTGAAGAGACATGATTGTGGCACCTCATTGATCTTAAAACATCTTTATAAGGAATAGGTTCAAATATAAGAAAGATAAACAATGATAAAATTTTCTATCGAATGAACATGCTAAATAAAATTGTCTGTGTGAATAGCAAAGCACTACTTATTGATAAAACTTCAATAAGATCATAGAATGGTGATAAATAATGTTGACATATTCTAATTGCTTTTTAAGGATATGAGAAAATAAGAGTGATTAACTACTAAAAAAGTATCAACATTTTTATTCCTCAAACATGTCCATGGTCGTGGAACAATAAAACCTGTGAGCACACAGCAATTAGCGCTCCTAGAGAGCTTTCAAAAAAAATCTATTAACAGTGATTAACCAGCATATCAAGAATCCATATGATTGACATGTTATAGTATATCAGAAAAAAAAGGTTTAAACTTTCCATAGAAAATATCCAGGGCAAGAGATGCCCACTATCACTAAAAATTTTAGTATGTGAGTTCTCTATCTTCACAAGTACAAGCCTTTCTTGCAACAACTATTTGAAACTTGTTGCAAAGAGTCAAGGATCTGGAAAGAAAAAGTGGGATAAAAGTGTCGGAAGTCTAACAACATGCTGTTAAGGTGAAGTGGGAAATCTAGCTGATCCAAGAAAGGATGAATGCGAGGGAGGACAAACACTGATACAGAGCTACGAATGAGGGGGCAGACCTATGATTCTGGATATACCTTTGAGAGCAAGAAAGGTCCGGATCTAATGCTTTCTCTATTTACTTGTGACCATCAGTAAAACTTAACAAAAAGCAAGATAGAAATATCTCTACGCATTGAATCATCAGCAATGTCATCCAATCAGCTATAGATTAGAATGCAGGCAGTGGGTCCTTGGCCTGAGCAAGGAGTCTTTAGATAATCTTTTATTGACTCTTGAGACACATCCTAGTAGAGATGTGCATCGTGTAATCCATGATTTATGGTCACTATTTCATAAAGAACATGCTCGACTTAGTCTTGAGAATCTTACTAAAAAAGACCTTGTTTGCCAGTTTTTAAAAAAACTAGATGGGAAGCCTATCCCCGACCTATAGAGGGTGTTTAAGCCGTTCTTGGATGTAAAACCAAGGGAAGATGTGAGCCACAATCACAACTACCTGTACATACACATGCTTTTTCAAAAGTAAATAAATAAATACATAAATAAAGAGAGTGTGTGTGAGAGACTCCAACTGACCTATATATAGGTGGTATGATTGTCTTTCTAATTTCTCATCTATAAAATCCTCTCTTCCTTCCTTTCATTTCTACTCAACCCATACATTCAACAAATACAGAAGTGTGTAGACATGGCAAGCTCCTCAAGTCATCATATAAGAAATATTTGTGTTTTTTCCTCAGGTCATCACATACGCAATATTTGTGTTTTTGGTGGATCTAGTCCTGGGAAAGAAAAGGAGTTTTTAGAATCAGCAAATCATCTTGGTCAGGTGCTAGCTGAGAGAAAGATTCATTTAGTGTATGGGGGAGGCAGTCTTGGGTTAATGGGAGGTGTGTAAATAGCTGCATTTTTAGGAGTTAGTCAAGTTTTAAGGGTTATCCCCAAAGCTTTGGCACAAGGGGACATCATTGGAAAAATAATTGGAGAGGAACTACAGGTCTCCACAATGTCTACTCGAATGAATGCAATGTTTAACCATGCTGATGCCTTCATTGCTTTACCAGGTGGTCTAGGCACATTAGAAGAGATCTTTCATATTTCCTCTTGGGCCCAAGTGCACATTCACCATAAACCCATAGGTTTGTTAAATGTTAATGGTTATTATGATAAGTTGTTGTGTTTTCTTGATCATGCTGTGGAACAGGAATTTTTAACATCTTCTGCACGACAAATCATAATCTTTGCTGCTATTGCTGAACAATTGATTGACCAACTACAATCTTTCATTCCTGTAATTGATCCTTCCATGAGTCGCATAAATTGGTCAACTAAGGAAAGTCATAAAAAGCTTAGATTGAATTTGAGCCTTCATTTTTGAATCTTTGTGTCTTCTGGTTTTATTATTGTGTTTTGTTGTTTCTTATATTGGTTTCAGTGTGTTTCAGGTTTGTCAGTGTTTGTTATTTTAGGTGATATCTTCTATACTCTATCTTTCTACCTTAGAACATTGAGGACAATGACTTGTTTTGGTTGAGGGGAGAGGGTAGTAGCTTAAAAAAAAAAACTAACTGTGTTTTGTATTTCATAAAGCATGTGCAAAATTGTTGTTACTATGATGACAGAGTAAAGAGATCTTTTTATGACTCTTGAGACACATCTTAGTAACCATTCTTAATAAGGTCTATCATAATACTTCTTGAAATATTCAGGTTTACAAACTCTCACATTACTATCACTTAATTCTGCTCATATACTCATTTAACATGTATTCTTAAATCTTAATTTACACACACACACACTTTAACATATGATTGTGGGTTGCACATTGGATTATTACATTATTTATGTTCTTTTGTTAAAGGTAACAACTAAGGGAAAGGGATAGTATATAATTTGAAAAAGAAACAAAACAAAAGAGCAAAAAAAATGAATGATGATAATAAAAATATAGATAAGTTTGGTTTCGTAGCCTCTCTAACCTAAGCAATTAAGTCCGAAGGGGTGTTTTAACACCTAATACCCTAAAGTCAACTGACTTGGGAGCTATTGGCCCAACGCTTGTTACATGGGTTGAGGAGAAAAGCTTAAGAGAATCAAACATTGCACTATCTACATATCAGTATCTGCAACCCGAGTTACTAAGCTCGTAGGGGTGTCTCAACACTTAATGTCCTAAGACCAACCGGTCTGGGAGTCATTAGCTGAAAGCTCGTTACATGGGTTAAAGATACATAATATTTTAAGTTATATGTATATATATTAAAAAAAAGAGAAAAAAAAAGAAAAAATAAATAATAAATAATCTCAACCCAAGTTAACCTTAAACATTAGAACAAAAATTTTGTTTTCTTCCAAGAAAAGCCCTATAATTATGTGTTGATATATTAAGCACAAAAGAAAGGTTTATTAATATCTTGTTAAGAGGTATTCAGCAGATATATAAATTTAATGAGAGTTTGTTTATTTAGATAGATTAATGGAAGTTGAATGATGAATACCTTACTTTGTGGAATTTGCAAATTGTTTCTCTATTTTAACGCTTTGATTACTAGAGACTAGTAATAAGCTGGTTGGGGGGTGTGATTAGTACTTAAAAGTGCATTTTTATCAAGGTTTTATATCATCGTTTTGCACTCAAAGTATCAATAACTCTTTAACTAAAGCATGTTTTATAATAACGTATCTAATAATATAATATACCTTTAATTTATGGTAAATCTTCATTTTAAATGCAGGCTTATCACATAAATGAAAGATTGACTGTTGAATTTAAGAACTGAAATTGAGAGGATAAAAAGATGGTCAAACTTAGAAAAGAGATGTCGGTGCAATCCAAACCGGAACACTGTTTGGTAATTGGGTTATATCTGGAGTTGTAGATCTTAGATTTAGGTCTATTTTATATGGATGGAAAGGTAAGACATAGGCCTACAACTTTCATATAGAGCCCAAGATCTAAAAAGGCTATTTTTAAGTCCAAATTGTAGCAACAATAAAGAAGTCCGAATTTGTCTTCCAATCCGAGCACTGTTTAGTATTTGGCCCATATCTGGAGTTCTAGAAGTTGAAATGATCTGAATTTTTTACATAAGAAAGCTGAGACAATTTTCCTACAACTTTCATGTTTTCAAGTGGTTCCAATTTTGACGTTATCAATGACGTTTTGGGCAAACAAAAAAAGATAAGGATTGTCACTAAGTCAAAAGTTGGCCACCCACTCATCAATTAGTCATCAAATCAATAGTTCTCAATTTTGGCCTATAAAAGGAGGCATTTGCCATGCATTTAGGCATCTTGGTTTCCAGATCAAGATCATGCTCTTGCTTTCTCTCTTTGTAGTTTTGTAATGTTTATGCTTTGCTTTCATTAATATCAAGTTTATGCCTTTCATTTTCTTCCTTTACTTAGTTAACTCTTATCTTATTTATGTTCTTATTTTGTTTATTTATTTTTCTTTCTTTCATTATGTTTAGCTAAGTTTATTATGTCAAGGTGAAAAGGTTACAGTAATGGTGTAAGAATAAGTATAATGTAAACTCAATATGGACTTTAATGTTTGATATAAGTATAGTGTAAACTTAATATGGACTTTAATGTTTGATACTAACATGTTTTGTATTTGTTATCTTGTTCACTCTTTAATACTTTGCTTGTTAAATGATTAATCTTGATTTATGTTGTATAACACTTGGTACAACAAATGCTTGGTACTTTCATAGCCCATAATGTATGGTATAACCGACACCTGAGCTATGAAAGGAACTTGATTTGTTGTTAACATAAGTTATAATCATGAATGCTTGACGAGATTTACAAGTATCAGCATAATCGAATAAGATGACTAATGTAATCATGTTAACAATCTATAATCTGATTGGAACCTCCTTTGTGTGTGGTTTCCAATTGAATAATAAGAGTTTATACTATACTTGTTTGACATACCATTAGTGGAACCTCTAACCTTGACATTTGTTATTATCATTATTTAATCCTTATATTAATATTCCATCTCAAATTTCTCATCTTTTTCTTCTTCTTCTCCTTCTTTTTCTTTATTATTATTATTGTTATTATTATTATTATTATTATTGTTGTTGTTGTTGTTGTTGTTATTGTTGTTGTTGTTATTATTGCTATTATTTTCATCTATAATTTATACAATTAATCTCCCTATGGTTCGACCCCGGTCTTACCGGGTTATTTATTACTTCGACACTCCTGCACTTGGAAGAAGACATCAATCTTTTAGTTGTGTCAATATCCTTGCATGAAATCTTCAAGATTTGATTTAGAGGAGCTAAATTGCTGAAATAAAAATTTGGATGCTGATTTAGATGCTTTAAAATGTAATTTGGACTCGTTTCTTCATGAAACATATTTGCTGGCAGAATTTAGTTGTTATATTTGAAAACTCATATCTCCCTCATATGACATCGTTTTAGGTTGAACATTTAAGCATTGATAGGTCTTTGAGTCAGGAATCCAACATAATTTTTTCAAAAATTAGACTTTTGCAACTACAAATATTTAAGTCGGAATGGTCGAACGTCAATAGTAGCAGATTACAAGATTTGACTTTGAAGGCTGCGATTTTCATACTCTTTCTTGTTTTATTTTCTTGCCTTAAATGTCTAAAAATGTATGTTAGCTTTTTAATGTCACTAGAATCACTTCATTTCAATCTCTAAAGTTCACACTCTATATAAAACATCGACTAAAAGTCAAATCTACCAATTACCTCCAATATACTCCTTTTTACATCTTTCATCCAAAAGTGCCTTCAAAACATAAAATAAAGAATATCAAGACATTTTATATATAAAACATAGGTAAAACACTAGTTAAATGTGGGTGAAACTATCGAATAATATAGTTGCATCATATTCCCTTTAAATCTTCCATTTAAGTATTTATGAAAAAATGAGTGCATGAACACTAAACCTTCTACTTTGAGGTTTTCATCCCCTTATTCTTTTAAAATCATGAGGTAGCAACCAACCAAGGAAAAATACTTCTCTTACCTCATGTTTTGTACAAGTTTAGAGAAAGTTTTGGTGACATGGTTCTTTCCTCAATCTTGGTTTTTCCTTCTTTTCCATCTCTGTTGTACAGTGGGTCTGTCACACTCCCTCTCTTCTATTGGTTTCAGTCATCAACATAACTCCCTACCTTTCTTTTTCTTCAAAAACTCAATGAAGGGGGCATGCAGCTGGTGTATGTGGGTA